CCTGTTCAACCCGCGTTCCCTTCCTCACGAGCAGGGATTCCGTTCTCAAGGCCGAAGGTGATCTGCCAGTTGCAGGAAGGAGAAGATCCCTGCGTGGTGGACAGGGAACTCCCTTGGGATGCCTGTCTAGGTGAGTGAGTGGCTGGGAAATGGGTGCAGGGGTTTTTATACATGAGCTGGCCATGAGGAAGCAGTGCTGGCAGAACTTCCTGGAAACTCTGAGCCAGGGCCTCCTGACCAGAGGCTCTGTGCTTGGAACGGTTTTCTTGGCATCAAGAAGGCCCTTAGGTAGGCCTCTTTCTTCTCCTCCTTAACACTCCCCGCATTCTCTACCTCTTTTCCTTTCCTGCGGCTTCGCCCACTCCCTTCCGCCATCTTGGCCTCTTGGCCTTCATGGTTTTTCTTCCCATCTGCGTTTACACGGGTTCATGCCTGACAGATTTTAAATACTTTACACCTTCTGTCTTGTTTTGAATTCGTTGTAATTTCTCTCACCAACCACATATTTCAGAGTGTTGTCAATGCTCCCGTGTCTCTGATTTCTTAACTCAACATTTCCCTTTTATCTCCTTGAAGACTGGGCTGTCACATCCCACTGTCAGAGTTGACCAGCTCTCCTTGACCACCGTAGCCTTTCCAGACCAGGGGTTGGCACACTTGTCCTACAACGGCCCAGATGGTAAATAGTTCGGCTTGGGGGCCATGGGGTCTCTACCGCAACCCTTTAACTCCCCTTTTGCAATGCAAATGCAGCCAGAGACAGTGGTAAGTGGATAGGTGTGCCTGCCTTCCAGCAACGGAGCTGGAGTTGGCCCCGAGATCTGGAGTTTGCACACTCCTAGCCCCGGCTAACCTCCCTGGTCTTGATCCTAAAACTGTAGGTCATTGGAGTTGAAGGATCACTTGAAGACAGTCAAGTTTAGATACCTCTCTTTATATCAGAAGAAGCAGCATAATCGGAGGTTGTAAAACACTTTGCTCACAGAGCCAGAGAGCTGAAGAGCAGTGACAGAAACCTAGATCGCCTCTGTCATTTCTGTTCACCTCGTGACATGGATTTGCAGTATTTTGCTTCTGTCTTTGTGGTTTGGCCTTTAATCTATGATTCTTGCCTTTATTGGCTTTTTTTTCCACAAATACTTTTCACCTTTATTAAAATATATTTTTCTCCAAGAGGCTCGTGAGTAGTACAGGATAGCCCTTAAGATCACGGTTTGAATTTGGACATTCCTAAGCTCACATTACGCCTGCCACAGCTCGCAAGTGGTCTGCGCTATGGGAGAGTTACCCACCCTCCCTGAGCTTTGTTCTCCTCTCCCACTCTGCACCATCCACAGAGCGATCTTCTCGAAACTCAGGTGTGTTAATCCTGTGCCTTAGGAGACTTTGTTGTTTCTTGGTTATCCACGGAGGCACGTCCCATTCCTTACCGTGACCTTAAACCTACTTCATAGCCTGTTTCCATGTTGCTTTACAGGAATCGGTGACCCCTTCCACACCAGCTCATGTTCCCGCCAAACCTGCACACTCCTTGAGTTTGTCTGTCATCCCTTCTTGGATTACCGCCTCCATCTTGTCCTCCCGGGAACCCTCTTGTGGTGCGAGACCCACCTGTCTCCCTGACCTGTCGGTTTTCCTTATTTCTCCCACTTCCCAGTCACTGTTCATTTCGCAACCACTCGCATTCATATGGCACTTTCTCCGTGCCTTGAACGCATCCGTGACAGCATCTGTTGTAGGGAATTATAGTTACTTTGTTATTATTTATTTTCCTAACTGGAGTGTGTATATTTAAGGAAGAGACCAGGTCTTTCTTTGAATTCTGTGCCTCTGGCATCAAATACCCTGCATTGAGCTAAGAGTGTTTGAATTTAATTGAGCTGCCTATATGATGAACTCAGTGCTGACAGGCTCAAAATTAAGAACTCGGTGCAGCCTGGGACGACTGGGTGGCTCAGTCGTTAAGCGTCTGCCTTCAGCTCAGGTCATGATCTCAGGGTCCTGGGATCGAGCCCCGCATCGGGCTCCCTGCTCGGCGGGGATTCTGCTTCACCCTCTTCCTCTGCCTGCCACTCCCCCTGCGTGTGCTTGCTCTCTCTCTGTGTCAAATAATAAACAAAATCTTAAAAAAAAAAAAAAAGACTACAGCAGTTGCCTCACTGCTCGGCTTCGACTCTGTCCTCGCGCTGGTCCAAGCTGCCCACTTAACCCAAATATGACCATTTCATCTTATTATTACCTGCCGAAGAATGTACAACACCTGTATTTATACTTCGAGTTCCTCGGCCTGTTGTTCAGGAACCCTGTGCTCGGCCTCATCCTGTTGAATCAAAATTTTAATGAATTCCAACCTGGATTTCCTTCTTTTTTTTTAAGATTTTATTTATTTATTCGACAGAGAGAGAGACAGCGAGAGAGGGAACACAAGCAGGGGGAGAGGGAGAGGGAGAAGCAGGCTTCCCGCCAGGACCCTGGGACCATGACCTGAGCCGAAGGCAGACGCTTAATGACTGAGCCACCCAGGCGCTCCTAGATTTCCTAACTTAGTAAATAGGCCTCTCCTAAATAGGTTTACTTTCCCCCCAGATGACTTTGCTCAGGCGTCCTGACTCACAGGGTCCTCTTTTCTTGTTCTGCTGAAACCCATCCCCTCTTTACTATCCAGCTTCCTTCATAAAACCACTCCCCGCTAATACTGTCAGTGCTGGTATCTTGGTTCTCTGAACCTCAGACCTGAATTACACACTCAAGACTTCTCATGCCAAGGGGAAACATGCTATTCCTGTCTAGTCATTTGTTTGTTTCATGTTATCCTTGCTGATTATTCACTATTTGTTCAATAAATGACTGATTAGGTTTCAGGAGTCCAGCATGAGAGGAGAGAATCTCTTTTCATTTTTCAGGTCACCTGCCCTTCATAATTTTTCCAACTTCTTCTGCCCATTCATGCATTATCTTTTTAATGTAATTAATGTATTAATGTACATGCATTAATGTACCTGTGTGCTTGTGTGCACAGTAGGGGACTAACAAATAACTGTAAGACATATCCACTGTTCTCCTTGAACAAATACTTGAATTATTTTCAGGTTTCATATAAATATATATTAGTTAAATGATAGAATATATAAGTAAAACATGTTGTGAAATTCTAAGAAAGAGATGGCTAATTTAGGCTTTACTAGATAAATTTCTTTAGAAAAATGAGATTAGAGTAGACTGGTAAGTTTCTGGATGGGCAGGGAAGGCCATATTGTGGCAAAGGATGAAAAGAGAGAAGGTACCCTGGTTGATTCTTTAAAATCCAAACTGCTGGGTTTCCCATTAACATCATGAAGAAAAATCTGTATTTTTATATAGATTTATAGCCTGTATGTCTTCTTCCTCTTACTATTTGATTTTAATAAATTATATTTTATTACTAAAACTCAATGGATTTTATTAATATAAATAACCTAGTTATACTTTGTTTTATTGTTTAAGTACAAACAATTACCTCATTACAAAGGCCTGGTTTTAATCTATTTTCAATCATGGATTGATTAAAGAGAGCCAGATTTTAACCCACACTTCCTTAGAATCAGCTCAAGCTAAACCCTTCCACTTACCATCAGATCTGAGCTTGGGGCTTGGGGCATACTGACTCCACATTTCTTGCAGACTTTCATTAGTCTAAAAAGATTCCTACAAAGGAGGTTAATCTTCTGGGTTGCAGCTTACTAGAAGAGACAAATATATCTATTTCTCCTTGGGACCAAATAGGAAGGAGAAAAGTGATGACAGGGTGGTATGAAGAACTCTTATTCCTCCAATCACCAGGGATAGATTGTTTGTTGCACATGGCCGATTGATTCCGTATTTTCCTCCTCTTTATAGTCAGCATCTTGAATTTAGATCAGATATCCTCAACACAGTCCTGCTTCAGGGTCACCGTAAGTTTTAAAAGCTGAACGTCCTCTTTTCACAGATTGTGATAGGAAGTCAGATTCACATACAGATTCACAAAACTTAAGGAAAACATTGCAGAGATTTTTAAATTAATGTGTATAGACTTTCAGCGAGAGCATGGGGAAAAACCTAATAAAAGCCACATGTGAATAGAAAGGAGAAAACCTGGCTGGCTCTGTCGGTGGAGCATGTGACTTTAGATCTTGGGGTTGTGATTTTGAGCCCCACATTGGGTGTAGACATTACTAAAAAAAAATAAGTAAACTTCAAAAAAAAAAAAAAAGGCAGGTTACCTGCTTCATTGCTCCATATACAGAGTAGAAAATGATTAACTGAAGTATCCCACGGTATCCAACTGGAGCTTACGAGCCGACATTTTTCTGTAGCCTCATCCCTCTGCTCAACCAGTTCTTGCCTCTGTGTTTACTTCTCTCAAGTTGCAGTGTTTCCATTTCCAGTGTTAATTTGTCCACTGTACTCTCCCACACTACTCCTTCCCCTCTTCACCTCTCTTTCCATCCCATTCTGTTTTTCCCCAGAGGCAAGACCATATTCGAGACCAAAAGAGGTTTCAGAGCTCTTTTATATGGACTACTGCCAGTTTTAGGGTTCTACCAATGCATGTCTATCCCGTTAGAGGTGCCGTCATTCATGCTTCTGACTCATTCCAGGTCTCAAGACTCGGCCCGAAATGGAAGCCTTGCCTCCCAGGCAGGGCATTTCTAGAGAAGAAACATCTCAGGGAATAATAAAGAAAAGGTCCATTAAGTGTGGTCTCTGGGACACCAATTTTGGACAAACTTTGGGATTTGAGAGCGGGACAGAACAGGAGCAACAAAAGAAACCTCTTAGGCAAATGGTGGCCTCCCACAGAAAAACCGTGAGTGGAGATGTAAAGCAGACAAGTCTTGAATTGGGGAAAGGCTTACTTATAAATACAATTCTTGTTACACAGCAGAGTGTTCCTATAGAAAGGATACCCAATGTATATTACACCTTTGGGAAAGATTTTAGACAGAATTTTGACCTAATGAGATGCTTCCAGATTTATCCAGGAGAAAAACCTCATATTTGTCACGAATGTGGGAAAAGCTTTGCCCAGAGTCTCCATCTGATTGAACACCAGAGAATTCATACTGGCAAGAAACCCTACAGATGTGATGAGTGTGGGAAAACCTTTAGCCACAGATCATCCCTTCTTGCCCATCAGAGAATCCATACGGGAGAGAAACCTTACAAATGTAATGAATGTGAGAAAGCGTTCAGCAGCAGTTCGACCCTGATCAAGCATCTGAGGGTGCACACCGGAGAGAAACCCTATCACTGCAAGGAATGTGGGAAGGCCTTCAGCCAGTGTTCAACCCTCACCGTACATCAGAGAATTCATACCGGTGAGAAACTCTATAAATGTGCTGAATGTGAGAAGGCCTTCAATTGTAGAGCAAAACTTCACAGACACCAAAGAATCCACACAGGGGAGAAACCCTATAAATGCAGTGAGTGTGGGAAACGTTACAGCCAGTTTGCATCCCTGGCTGAACACCAGAGGTTTCATACTGGGGAGCAGCTGTGTAAGTGCTTGGAATGCGGGAGAACCTTCACACGCATCTCAACCTTTCTCGAACACCAGCGAATTCATACCGGCCAGAAACCCTATCAATGTAACGAGTGTGGGAAAACCTTCAACCAGTATTCCTCCTTCAATGAACATCGTAAAATTCACACCGGGGAAAAGCTCTATACCTGTGGAGAATGTGGGAAAGCCTTTGGTTGCAAATCCAACCTGTACAGGCACCAGAGAATTCACACTGGAGAGAAGCCCTACCAGTGCAATCAGTGTGGGAAGGCCTTCAGCCAATATTCTTTCCTCACCGAACACGAGAGAATCCATACCGGAGAGAAACTCTACAAGTGTATGGAGTGTGGGAAGGCCTACAGTTACAGATCCAACCTGTGCAGACACAAGAAAGTTCACATGAAGGAAAAACTCTATAAATGGAAGGAGTATGGGAAGCCTTTTATCTACAGCTCCTCCCTTACTCAGTATCAGAGATTTCTTAGAGCAGATAAGCCCGGTGAAGTTTAATTCTTCTCTCAAATAATTCAAGACTCCTCACCGGAGAATAATAAATAGGGCACAGACTCTGGATTAGATTAAATGTTTTGGGTTTTTTTTTTTTTTTTTTTTTTTTGCTTCTGGAGAAAATATGATAGTTCCCACTAAGTCATGGTGAAATTGATCAGTAGGATTATGAAGAGTACTGATTTATCAAATTTTCTAAGAACATTAAATGCTAATAAGGTTTCTAAGAACATAGAAAAAATGTTTAATTCGTAGAAGAAATATAAAAGGCCTAACAAAAAAAACATGAAAATAATGGCATATACATTTTATTTGTTTCATTAGAGTTTACTCCCTTTCTAAGAGCAAGCTTTGATAGGAATTTTCTTTTAAATTAGTCATTGAGTTAATGTGAATAAGCGTGAGGCCGTATTTGCTAAAATGGCAAGCAAGCATAGGACACGCTTTTTTCTGTAAAGAGAAACTCAAGGTAAAAAGGAATTCTTTAAATTCAAATTTTCATGTGGAAATAATGAAGCTCACTTTTTATGAACTGCCTCAGCGGCAGGTTGTATATATAAATGTATGTGGACATAGGACATACAGACATACACACATAGCTTTAGAATATATGTATATTTTTTCCAAAAGTCTCTGATGATTAAAAAATTAATTTAGAATTTCGTTTTGGAAATTAAAATTTTGCCCAAATGGAATCTCTTTTCCTTTTCCTTATATTATTTCTTAATTTGATAGGATTTGACACTACTGAATAGAGTCTTAGGATAGTATTATAGAAGGTGCAGTGAACGAAAGCAAGGGAGACTGTCGCGCAAATACTCTCTCATCTGTTGCAGAAGGGTATGTATTTGCAGAATCTGACTGTAAACCTGGTAGCTTATTAGAGCCAGGAGGAATTTTCATTTAGTTTATTCATAGCCTTTCATTTTACTAACAAAATTGAAGCCTATTGGGCGGAGTCAAGGCTAGAATCTAAGTTTTCAGCTCTGGTTTTCTAGGATAATTATAGATACGAATTATAATCATTGGCTTCCAACCTCAAGTCCTAAGAGTACTAGTCACTGTTTATTTTGTAAACTGGTTAGGCGCAATTGCAGTGATTTAAGCAGCTTTATTTCTGTTTACCAGGTCCCCCAACTGCGATCGCACAGTCTCATTCTTTCTTTTTCTTCTATGTCCCTAATTATACCTGCTTTTGTAATAACTGTACATAAATCCTCAGACTCAGCTTAGGTCCAGATGGTGAAATTGCTTTTGGGGTTTTCACATCTAAGATTGCCTTTTAGTTTGTTTTTGTTATTCATCTTTTAGGAATTCTTTTGTGTACAGTGATATGTGAATATTTTATTATTACACATTCTGGTCATCAGTTAAAATTGGCTTTCCAAACATTTTCCATATTTTTAACATACATTGCACTTCCCACAATTTTATATCTCACTTTCACAATTGGTATCATTTAAAAAAGTGTTCTAATAAAAGTAGCTAGAACCTTCTGTCTGAGAAAGGTTTTAGAATTAAATGCAGGCATTCAGCATAGCATGTTTCTTGACTTGCCTTAGCTCATTTGAAAACATCTTTTTATATATTTAAGTATACTTACAAGGAAATGAGCTTTTAAAAAGACCTCAGTGTTTAACACTGGACAGAGTCATTTGCAAGATATTCTAGAGAAAAACATATTTGGTTATCCAGTAGAAATGAGCATGCTTAGTACCCAGATCTTGGTTTCCAAATGCTATTCCCCACTAGAAGGAACCTGGGCTCATTGGAGAAATGCTGATTCCATATCTGGAGCAGGGAAAGTAGAAGATGTGTCTGAGGTATCTTTTTATGAAACAGATAAAAAAGATAGCACTTCAAGACAAAGCACTCAAAAGATAATGTCAGAAGGACACGGGAGCCATCTTGAAGGTGCTCTCACTGGTCAAATTTAAGATAATTTAAACATGAAAAATAACAGTCAATCTAATTGGTTATAACATGCTAAGTAAAAATGAGCCCATAATGAAAAAAATGGTGGGAAAAAAAAAAAGGAAAGCTCTCTATAAACTAATCCGAAGAATGCCATCTTTTAACTGTATATGGAATGACAGATTTAGAAAAATCACTTTTATAACCCTTCATGTGATTAAACTAGGTAAATTGAATGGATGATAAACCCATTAGGTGAAAAAAAAATTAAGGAACATTATATGGTGTCAAAGTTCACAAATACCAATTGCAAAGAAAAGATACACCTTTCTAATGGAGAGATCTGGCTGTCAAACTGAGTTTCACTACTGGTGGGACAACCTGACATTGTGTGGCCCCTGATGATATGCAGTATGAAGCACACGTGATCATCTGTGATGTATTCTTGCCAAGAGTGTTTAATGAAAATCTAATTAAACCTCTTATCCAGATTTATGCTCCTATTCATAAGAAAGACAAGAGAGCAACAAGTCAAATTCCACGATGAGGAAATAGACAAACCCAGAGTTTGAGACTTTGTACAAGACAACTGGTCTGGATTTTTCAAGAAGCCAACATAGTAGAACAAAAAGGAAACTTCTAGATTAAGGCACTCAAGAGTCATAAGCAAGTTGTGATCCTTAGTTGGCTTCTGATTCAGAAAAATTAGAGCAACTATAAAAGACATTTGGGAGGGGGTACTTGGGGGAAGTATGAGGATGGAATGGGTTTTAGATACTGTCATATGTTTAGTTTTCCTAGAAGTGATGGTGGTCTTGAGGTATTTAGGATGATGTCCTTATTCTTAGAAGATGCATGTAAAAGTTTTCAAGTTTAAAAAGTCATGGTGTCTGCAGCACATTTTCAGATAAATATGTAAAAAATTAGTCAACTGTTGTGAAAAATTAGTCAACTTTGTGGAGGATATAGAGATGTTCATTGGTCATCCTTTACATTTTTCTGTATGCTTATAATTTTAATAAAAAATTGAGGCAAAAAGTGATTGCATAATGTGATGAAGCTTCCAGTCAGAATTTTTCCTTTAGGAGCACCTGGGTGGCTCAGATGGCTAAGCGTCTGCCTTCGGCTCGGGTCATGATCCCAGGGTCCTGTGATTGAGCCCCGTGTCGGGCTCCCTGCTCCGCGGGAAGCCTGCTTCTCCCTCTCCCACTCCCCCTGCTTGTGTTCCTTCTCTTACTGTGTCTCTCTCTGTCAAATAAATAAAATCTTTTTAAAAATAAATAAAAATTAAAAAAAAGAATTTTTCCTTTGTACTCACATAAATTTCCTATTTGAGAGTTTATCTTCTGGGGATGTAATCATTGGAAATAAAATAACTTTTGGTTCATTCTTGTTCCACTTTATTTTTCAATGTGGGGCTTGAACTCATGACCCCAAGATCAAGACCTGAACTGAAATCAAGAGTTGGATGCTTAACCGACTGAGTTAAACTGTTCTTGTTCCAGTTTAAATGCACCTGCCACCTTTCTCTCCCACCAGATATAAATAAAAACCCTAGAGAGAATGCATGGAGCAGCCATCTGAGAACCCTGACTAGTATGGTAGAAGACAGACTTAAGAAGGAAACCAGAATTTGAAGTAAGACCACTCTGGTACTCCCAGACATTCCTGTGGTAAGGACAGTAGTGGTTAAGCAGGCATCTAACCCTTTGAGGGAGGGGAACCCTTATCTCTGTTCAGAGGCACTACTTTCCTGCTACTTGGACCTGGAGGTAAATATATCCATGAAGTGAGAGCAGAGAGAACCCAAAGCCTTGGATTTTTAACCGGAAGACCAGGAAAAAGAAGTAGCCCCTGGGAGCTGGAATGTGTCAGGTGGTGAGAGAAAAAGTAGTCTCCTAGAGTTGTGTATGCAAGCCTACACTCAGCCCTGATCTGGACCCAGAGTCTCATAATATTCAAAATGTCCAGGATATAATGCAGAATTGCACAATATATAAAAATCAGAAAAATTCCAACATTCTTAGGAAAAAGATAACAGACACTATCCCAAGATAACATAGATGTTGGAATTATAAAGAAGGTATTACAATAGTATTTCAAAAAGCATGACCATTCTTGAATGGAAACTTCAAAACTCTCAGGAGGAAAACAGATAATGTTAAAAAAAAAAAAAAAAGGGAACCAAGTGGGTATTTTAGAACTGAAAAATAAAATAACAAAATTTACCAAAAAATAATGGAAGAACTCAGTAGCAGAATAGAGATGACAGAGAAAAGAGTGAACTCGTAGAATCACACGTATCATCCAAACTGAACAAGAAAGAGAAAAAAATACACAATCATATTAACTGATTGGGGGTGGATAACAAAATTAAATATCCATTTATGATAAAAACTCAGAAAACTAGAAATAAAGGAGAAATCAACCTAGTAAAGAGCATCTACCAAAACCCCACAACTAACATCATGCTTAATGGCAATCAACTGAATGATAATAAGATCAGCAACAAGTCCATGTGTCCACTCAGACACTCCTATTCAACTTTGTACTGGAAATCCTTGCCAGCACAATCAGGCAAGAAAAAGGAATGAAAGACTTTAGAAAGGTTTAGAAAGGAAGAAATAAAATGTCTTCATTCAGATGATGCAATTGTCCACTTAGAAAATCCCAGGGAATCAACAAAGATGCTCTTAGAACACTAAGAACTAAACTAGGAGTTTAACAAGGTCACAACAAACATACAAAAATTATCTGTGTAGTAGTGATGAACAATTAGAAAATAAATTTCAACAAGCTACTCCATTTGCAGTAACTCCAGAAGGAAAAAAGAAAATTTGGCAAACATGTGGCATCTCTATGTTGAAAACTATGAAATGTTGAGTAACGTCAAAGAAGGCCTAAATAAATGGAGAGACACGCCATGTTTACAGATGGGAAGACGTCATATAGTTGTCAGTTCTCATCAGTTTAATCTATAGATTTAACACAATTCCAGTAAAAATTTCAGTAGGAATTTCTGTAGACACAGTCAAGCTTATTGTAAAATTTATGTGGAAAGTCAAAAGAAGTAGAGTCACCAACGCAATTTTG